GAAAACAAATTAAGAGCCAAATATAAAGAGGCAATAGCAAAGAAAATTATGAAAGCATATTAGACAAATGAACTCCCCATTAGCAAGACATTCATGCAGTAGAATGAAGGTAGAAAGGTCATGAGGTATTCAGAATGCTGTATGGTGATCCTTCTGCCTAGTGTAGTGTAGGGTCCTGGATTCCAGTGGTGCTTTGCAGCTTGGAATATGTGAATAAGTACGTTTAGGGCTGGCCAAGAGATTTAAATTCATACGTGTTTTATATGACTGGTGCACGAGGTAGATGATGGTACTAGAAAACAAATTTACAGCTTGCAAATTGGTGTGGAACTGAAGACAAGGGTATATTTATGTTTGTGGTTTACTAAAAAAAAAAATATAAAAATCAAGGCCATGGTGGATTATGAGAATGAAACAAAATGAAGGAAATGTGTGGATAAAATATATGCAGTGGGATAGTGTCTGCAGGCAAGTGTGCAGGATGACTGAAATGTAGAGGTGGTGTGGATGTCATGTAGGAGTAAAGTTGTGTTAGTGCTAGTATGTGTGTTTAAGGGATACATGCGGGTGTGGGCATGAATGACTTACGGGCGTGAGAGTTAGTGGAGGGAGGGGGTGCGATAGGAGAGGGTGGGAGTGGGCGCCGGGTGCACACGGGTACCTGGCGGCTTGACGGCGGGCACAGAGAAGTAGCGCGAGTCGATGTGGCCCGGCTGATGGAAGCCCTTGGGGGGCACAACACCGGCGATGGTGGCATGCTTGGCGTCAGCTGCAGGCAGCCGTCGTGCACGAAGCCCATGGGCCGCCACTGTCTGGGACTTGGTGGCAGCATATGGATTACTCTTCAAGACTGCTCTTGGTAGCTGAGGCTCTGTAAATGTGCTGAAGGAGGAGCCTGAACGTTCATAAGGAGGCGTGTCGGGCTCTACTTGAGTGACTGAACTTCGTCGCTTGATCACCACAGGTGTGGAAGCGTCACTGTAAACAGGCTCAGAAGCCACAAACTTAGAGGGTGGAAGGAAGCCATATCCTCCCCCCACCACTTCAATATTCAACCGTCCTGTTTTTCCCTGGGCAGTGTTAGCTGTGGTATTGGAGGTAGTGCCATGATTTGAAGGAGGTACAGTAGGAGGTACAACACCTCTCTGCAAGGACAGGCTCTTAACACAGGATTCTGGGGGTGGTGGCGGTGGTTGTGTCCGACACAGATCATCAACACTGGAGCAACGAGGAGGTCCCGCTGTTGGGATAGGCACACAACTTTCTGACCCAGAGGATCCTGATTTAGAGTGCGAGGCTGAGGATGAGGAATAGGATGCCTGGGAGTGAATGCCAGAGTCGCAACGCTTGTCAGGTGGGCTGACGGAAGAGGCGGTGGAGGAGGAGTCGGAGTTGCGTGGTACTTCCCCCATCACTACTGCAGAGTCCCCACTACGGCCTGGGCTGCTCTCCTGCAGACATATACCATGTAGTAGTTGTTGAAGTAGTAATAGTAGCGGTAGTAGTAGAAGCAGCAGAAGCAATAATATCAAAAGCAGTAGTAGTAGTACAGTAGAAATACTGGTATTAGTAATAGTATTAGCAGTAGTGTAGTAGTAGGAGGAGCAGTAGAATTAGTAGTAGAATTAGCAAAAATATTTTAATAGAAGGAGCAGGAGTGGAAGAAACAGCAGCGGCAACAGAATAATACAAATAAAAGTGGTAGTAGCCACAGAGGGACCTGTAGTGGAGGTAATAACAGTAGTAACAGCAGTAGCCACAACACTTCAAAATAATAATATCAATAATAGTAGTAGTAGTAGTAACAACAGTAATAGCAGTAGTGGATGGAGGAAGAATATGAGTAATAGTAGGAGTATGACGGATGGCAGTAGTAGTAAATTGTAATGCGAAAGCAGCAGCAACATAGTAGATGTAGTAATAATGATAGATGAAACACCAATTTTAGCACTGGTATAATGTAATAATAGAGGCAGCCATGACTGAAGCAGTAGATATGGTAATACGGTAGTTGTGATAGGAATAGTAGTTATAGTAAAGTTATAATTATGGGAGGTTGTAACAATAGTTGAAGCCTGAATAACATCTGCATTACAATCTCTAAATTTGACTATCATATATAATGTATGTATTTTTAAAGGGGAGGAAGTTAATCAATATACTGTATGTATTTAAACAAAAAATTGTGGCCTCCTGCAAGTAATGCCTAGAGCTGACTAAAGGTTATCCAAGCCCTGTTTGTAAATGTAAAATTGAGAAAGAGAACAGAAATACTGTTGGAGCAGTACTAATAGTATAATGATAATAGTGATAACAAGTGATAAGAACAGCAGCTACTGCAGAAGAAAGAGTAATATTGAGAAGGATAATAATAGCTGTACATAATAGGAACAATAACAGCAGCAGCAGTAAGAAATTTGTGGGTTAAATTATTATATATGAAGCCTTTGCAGATGAATATTAATCAGGACTGAAAAAAAAGGTGTAACAATAATAAAAGGCAGCTTTGCATATGAAACCGATTAAGCACTCAAAAATAAATGGAAAAATTGCATAACCATACATAAATACTTAACAGGTATGGCATTAATAAATAAAAAGTATTGATTTCTGTCAAGTATAATTTTACAAAACTCAGAAAAGTTGACTTTTAAAGGGATTGTCTTATATCTGCACTATAAATAATACATTCACACACTGCATCTGTTCAGGAATTAATAAAGTACTGTACTAGTATATTAAATAATGAAAAAAAAAGACTGGTGGACCATGTAATGTCTATTAACCTTCAGCAGACTTTTACCATTCAAAAGCATCCATTTTTTGCCTAATTTTTAACCTCAATTGAATCAGTGTGCACAAAAACATCATCATTACACATGTAAGAACCATGCCATACTATTCCAAAAATGTCCTGTTATTATGTGCCCACAAGTACAGTATATTTTCATGCTTCCTCACTGGCAGTGTACCAGTAAGTCACTGATGAATAAGAACTGGTTACTTTGTGCATCCAGTATAGTACAGTATACATCTGAATAACAAAATTGACTTTGATAATTAATATTGACATAATAGGTACTTACTTGTTTTGGTATGTCATAATTTAATGTACCATAAACAAAAAAATTTATATTTTACAATTTTTTTTTTAGGATGGGTGGAAACTTGGTGCTTTTGGTCAATGGTGGCACTTGAGCATTATCTTCATCATTTACATTAGGTCTCAATGGCAGGTTTCAAAGAAGTAAAGTTTTTGGCTCAACATCCAGCCTACCGAAGCCAGAGCAGTTAAAGACAACCAGGAAAACAGTCTTGTTAATGCTGGGAAACAAGACAGTTATTTTCCTAAACAGAATAATCTTTAAAAATATAAAATCATGAATGTACGGTACATCTAAAAGGTATGTACAGTATACTTGTGCAGTACTATGTAAATTACTATACTGTACGTCTAATGGGTATGTATACTGTACTTTGCAAATTATTATAAATTTACCGTCAAATTTGAAGTTCTATATTTATGAATAATTCTTGCAAACTGAGCTAGTATAGTACAAGATCTCTTATGACAAAAATAGAATCAATATTTTATTGCAACAAACTTGTCATAGATACTGGTAACTAACCATAGAATTTCCGCGAAGAATGTGAATTTGTGGGTTTGGCTGAGTGAGGTGTTGCTGTTGCTGATAGTTTTGTTGTTGCTGCGGATACTGTTGTTGTTGCTGCGGATACTGTTGTTGTTGTTGCTGTGGATACTGCTGTTGTTGCTGCGGATACTGTTGTTGTGGCTGTTGCTGCTGTTGATACTGCTGCTGCTGTTGCTGCTGTTGTTGTTGAACACCCATGTGTGCCTGTGTCATGTGCTGAGGGACTTGGGGAGGCTGCTGTGTCATGTGCGGAGGAACCTGAGGGGGGTGTTGAGCCATGTGCTGAGGGACCTGTGGAGGCTGCTGAGTTATTTGATGGGGCTGCTGAGCTATCTGATGGGGTGGCTGAGCCATTTGATGTGGTGGCTGAGCCATCTGATGGGGCTGCTGAGCCATCTGAAGGGGTTGCTGAGCCATCTGATGGGGCTGGATAGCTGGTGGGGATGCCATAGGGGGTGGAGCTGGGGGGCTGCAAGACTCGGGGGGAGCTGGCAGGGGTGGCTGTTGACAAAAGAACAATTAAAAGTGTAACTTAGTGATCAGAAATAACGTATAACAGACATACATTGTATCGATTAATACTTTCTTTTAAGGGATACAGTACCAACTTAATGGAACTAATTATTTAGGTGGCTAACTTAAATGGTAACAAATGCAATACCGAAATCATTAGAACACTAATCATACATGCTTAGAGAAATAACAATTAAATAAGAGTGTAACTCATTATATAAATAGTTTTTATATTTAGAAATTACTAAATAAGAGTGAGCAGGATTGAATAGAAGCACTTTGTTAGGAGAGAATGAATGACTGACATTGTCTATAATGACTTACAGCCTGAATTTACCCAAAGGCCGCCGTCTCTAGTAGCCTTGATGGAGACAGAAAGCTGGCAGCTTATCAAGGTCCACCCATTATTCCTGAGCATCTTTTCCCGCTGAATTTTGAACTGAATGTCTATTTGTGGCTTTGGTGGCTAGGCAATTCCATGGGTATATTACCATATGAGTGAAAAGGCATCTTTATGCCCTACATTGTGGCTTGTTGAGTTTGAAGCTGTTAACCCCCTGTGTAACACAACCTCACAAAGAAGTGGTCTGGGTTAATATCTTTCAATTTGTCCAGTATTTTAAAGGTCCTAGTGAGATCAGGTCTGACATGTCTGGTTTCCAGTGTTGCTAGTCCTGAAGTTCTCAATTTTTTCTAGTATGAGAATTGACTTAGTTCTGAGATGAATTTTGTTGCTCTTCACTTAAGCAGTTATGTTCCTTTGAAGGTAAGGTCTCCAAGCTTGGATACATTTTGTCTAGTGGCTGAGATTCTGTTTTGACTACTGAAGAGCAGTGGTAACTGCGCATGAGCTTAAACGAAAGTAAAATGTGTGAAGGAATGGGTGGTAAAGTACTTTGAATTTCATCAACCCACTTTATCCCTACATTTTTCCCCTTCACTTGGCCCAGGGTTGTATCTATCCTACAGAACTTTTCTATCTTTCCTGGACAAATGCCTCAACAGCCCATGCAAGTAGTGAATGGGGTGATGATGCTAACTAAAAAAACGAAATTATTGCTGTGTAATTAGGGAGAAAATTTGGATTGTACTGTAACGAATTACTGTACAGTGCTAAAATATATATATTTTACTCAGTAGAAAAATAACTATTGAAAACATAACTAGAACCAAACAGCTACAGTATTTCTATTCAACTGATAACAAAAATGAAAGCATTTTGTAATTCACTGCACGAGAATGGCAGCAGTGTGACTCAAACAAAATAAACAATTATTTTTGCACTAATACTGTGATGCATATACAGTACTGTATAATAATTATTGTGAAATATGATCATGTTTTATTAATACACTATACTGTACTGGCTTAATAATAGTTTTAATTCATTACACTACCATACAGTACTACTGGAAAGTAAGTACTACTAGCACTTACAGGTAGTAAGTACTACTACCATACAGTACTACTGGAAAGAAAGTACTACTAGCCCGAAACGCTGCTCGTACTAGTGGCTTTAGAAGATTGTAATTACCATTTTATGTATCCTCACAATCCCAATGTACCTTCTTGTATATACATAAATAAATAAATAAATAAATAAAAATAAATACTGTATAATTAGCTGATAGAACAGTGTATAATGAATGTTTGTTCACCATATAAATAACAAAACTGGATAAAACAATGATAACATACAATACTACACAAGACACTGCAATTGCATACAGAAGAACATGCAGCACTAAGCAACAGAGCACATATATTACTATACAAAATGTTATGCACAGTGCCATGCAAAATGTAAAATACAGTGTCATGCAAGAGGTAACATGCAGTACACACACAAGATGCAGTAACCTTTCTTACCAAAGGTTACACAAAGCACCATTCACAATTCAACATACAACAGATAAGACACAAAAAGAGAACATTCAGTGCATTATCATTAACAGTCATGAACATATGTAAGTAACAGAACAAATTCTAACAACCTTCACAAAGAATATTTTGTAATTGCTCACTACTGTACCAGAACTCAAAGCAAGCCAGAGAAACCAGACTTATTAAAACTTAAAACTCAAGACTTATTCTTAAGATTTTAAGACGTATACTGAAGACTATAATTCATACACAATTTTTGGTTGGCCTCATTCACAGTGAATAATGAGTACAGTAACAAATATTGTACTGTGAACACACGATGATCACTGTACATCATATGCATAAATATGAGAGAACCCTTCGGAAGACCTGCTGGCCAAATCACTGACATGTCTGTCTTTCACTGACATAACGGCAGTCTACAGGAAAATGCAGGTTAGCATTGGTTACTATTCATCATTTTTATGATTTTTTTCTTATATTCTTTGGAATAAAAATTTCAATTTGAAATTATTAAATTACAATTGTGATTACTGTAAATCACGTACATACTAACATAATGAGAATATTAATTGCACACACACACACACACACACCAAAATTGTTGCAAATCAACCCCATTACAATTCCAAACAGAAAAGACCAAATCCACCACAGGAAACTACACACAATCCAATTGTTTTAAGTCACTATAATATGAGCACCATAACAAGAGCAGCAACACCATATCTTGAGTTATCTTGAGATGATTTCGGGGGTTAGCGTCCCCGCGGCCCGGTCCTCGACTAGACCTCCTTTTTGTTACACACCCCTAGGAAGCAGTCCGTAGCAGCTATCTAACTCCCAGGTACCTATTTACTGCTAGGTAACACGGGCATCAGGGTGAAAGACACTTTTTGCCCATTTGTCTCCGCCTTCACCGGGGATCGAACCTGGAACCTCAGGATTACGAATCCGAAGTGCTGTCCACTCAGCTGTCAGGCACCATACAGAGAGCAGCAGCACCATGACGAGAGGAGCATCAACTATAAGAGTAAAATCACTACAAGAGCAATATCACTAAAACAATAGTGAACCTTCTTCTTAAATTACATCATTATGGAGTCAGAGGACACTCCCTGCAATACCTCAAATCCTACCTTACTGACAGGCTCCAATATGTTTCTGTGAATAATACAATTTCTCCCACCCTACCCATCAACATTGGTGTTCCTCAGGGCAGCATACTTGGCCCTCTCCTCTTTCTCATCTACATTAATGACCTTCCAAATGCCTCCCAACACCTCAAACCAATTCTATTTGCTGACGACACAACCTTCATTTACTCCAGTCCTGACCCCCTTGCTCTAAATGCCACAGTAAATACTGAGCTAAATAAAGTCCATCTTTGGCTAACTGCCAACAAACTCACCCTTAACATTGACAAAACTTTCTATATTCTGTTTGGCAATAAATCCTCTAATCAAATAAATCTCAAAATAAACAATACCCAAATTTGTAACAAATTAGATGGTAAATTCCTTGGCATTCTCATTGACCACAAGCTGAATTTCCAGGGACACATTCTAAATATATCAAAAAAAGTTTCAAAAACTGTGGGCATTCTTTCTAAGATCAGATATTATGTACCACGCCCTGCCCTGGTGACTCTCTATTACTCCCTTATCTATCCATATCTCAACTATGGTATTTGTGCTTGGGGCTCTACTACCCAAAATCACTTACGTCCTCTAATTACTCAACACAAAGCTGCTATTAGGACAATATCCAACTCTGGCCCCAGGCATCACTCGGTACCCTTACTCAAATCTCTGAATATGTTAGACATTAAGTCACTACACATTCTCTCATGTGTATTATACATATATAAAACGCTAAACTATAATGCCAATCCTGATCTTAAAAGCTTCATAGAAGGTTGTAACAGAACCCATGAGCACCACACCAGAAATAAATACAGTTTTGATATTCCTAGAGTACGCCTTAATCAAACTGAAATTGAAATTGAAATAAGTTTATTGAGGTAAAATACACACAAAGGGATGAGGTAGCTCAAGCTATTCTCACCCCATTCAGTACATCGTGTTAATATATACATATACACACATCACAAATAAACATATTACCAAACATTCTGAGAGGTAAAAATATACATTTCCTCCCTCACAAGGAGTATGGTATCAGACGTACACACAAATACTTTTATGACCTAGGTATACTGTATAGACAATTTGCAAGACACCTGCAGATAATTCAACAAAATATTACAATCTTGGTGCAAAATTCTTATATCTCTCAAGAATATCATCAACCTTTCCGTTGTGACACATCCAGGCTATTTGTTCAGGAACAGTCCTTATCTCAGTGTTTCTATATACACTAATCAACGGACAATCAAGAATATAATGGGCAAGGGTGTGAGACCTTAACATACCACATAGTTTACACTTCGTGTCATTACCATGAACATCTATCCCATATTCCCAGTAATATTTGTACCCAAGCCTGAGCCGCATGTACACAGAGTCACTCCAAGCATTTCTCCTTTTACCATAAGTGAAATGGGTGTTTTGACTCACATACATGTAGTGTTGCATGGTTTGACTACTCTCATACATTATCTCTCTCCTCTCCACTCCCGCCTGTGCCTGAATATTTCTGATTTTGCTTCTTATTTGTCTCATTGTGAATTCACATTCGATGTCAACTTGTGGTTTTGATGTGGCACGTTTGGCCAAGTCATCCGCCACCTCGTTAAGCACTATTCCAACATGAGATGGAATCCACATGAATTTCACACTATAACCTTTCAGCTGTATCTCAGTTATTCTTCTCTTACAGTCCTCCACTATAGACATGAAGACTGGGTTTCTACTGTTTAAGGACTCCAGTGCTCCTCGGCTATCGACAAATACAAAAACATTTTTGTCGTCATGACGTACTTCCTCCAAACACGCCAGAATGGCCTGCAGTTCAGCTTGTGTGGATGATATATAATTACTAAGCCGGAGTTCAATTATCCTGTCCACAGTCCCAAACTCCGTATAATCCCTTATTAGGACACCACACCCTGCCCTGCCATCCTCCGCCACCGACCCGTCGCA